TTTCTCTTAAATCTTTTAGAATATAAAAAGTGCTACAAGCAAAAATTACAATATCGTTTTTTATTCTTGCTCATGTATATACTTTTACTAGAGAATTTCATATATTAATATGGTTTTGAGTTACTGTCTTGCATCCTTTGATTTCATCCTGAAGGACCCCATTTAATATTTCTGGTAGGATGAGATTAGTGGTAATGAACTCCCTCAGCTTTTATTAATCTAGGGACCTTAATTTCTCCCTTGCTTTTGAAGGCTATTTTTATTGGTTATAGAATTCTTGGTTGACAGCCATTTTTTATTCCAGAGCTTTGAGTAATTTTATCCCACTGCCTTCTAGCCTCCAAGGTCTCTGCTGGAGAACCTGCTGATGGTCTCACTGAGGCTACGTTATATGTGACCAGGCACTTTTCTCTGGTTGCTTTCGAGGCTTTTTCTTAGCTTTGACTTTCATAGTTTATGGTGTATCTTGATGTGCGCCTCTTTGCATGTATCTGGCTTCAAATTCACAGGACTTCTTGGATATGTAAACTCATGTCTTGCCTCAAATTTGGGACATTTCCAGCCATTATTTCTTCAGATAATTCCTCTGCCCCTTTCTTTTCCTTCTGGGTTTCTCATAATGTTTATTTTAGTCTACTTCACAGCATTCCCCAAGTTCTTAGGCCCTGTTCACTTTTCTTCATTTGTTTTTCTTTCTGCTCCTCACATTTGGTAATTTAAAATGTCTTATTTTTCTTAAAGATTTTATTTATTTTTAGAGAGAGAGGAATGGAAGGAGAAAGAGAGGGAGAGAAACATCAATGTGTAGTTGCCTCTTGCATGCCTCCCCCAACTGGGAACCTGGCCTGCAACCCAGGCATGTGCCCTGACTGGGAACCAAACCAGTGACTTTTTGGTTTGCAGGCCGGGGTTCCGTTCACTGAGCTATACCAGCCAGTGCTAACATGTCTTATTTTTAATCTCACTGATCTTTTTTCTGCCTGCTCAAATCTGTTAAACTCCTCCAGTGAATTTTTATATTTAGTTATTATATATTTCAGCTCCAGAATTTTGTTTGGTTCTTTTTTATTATTTATTTCTCTTTGTTCAAGTTCTCATTTTGTTTATATATCATTTCCCTGATTTTTATTAGTTTTTTTTGCTTATGTCTTCCCTTAGCTCTTTAAACATATTTTGACAGTTTTGTCTGGTCGGCATTGCCTGCACCACTTGTTCAGAATAATTTCCGCCCCTCTATATTCTTCCTTTGGACAAGTTGTGTTTTCCTGATGGTTTATGGACCCAGCGGTGGTGGATGCTGGAAATCCGGCATTTGGGGGGAAGAATGCTCTGTCTTCGCAGACTAGCTTTGTACCGGGGCAGCCCTCCAGTGATGGAGGACTGGGCATGTCTTAGGCTTTGGATCAGCCCTTGGAGAAAATGTGTGGTTTCCTCAGGCCCCTGGCCTCAGGGTGCACCTCGCCTGGCCTCTGTGTGGCTCCTGCTCACTTTTGAGCATCTTCATATCCCAAATGGCCTCGCTTCAGCTTTTCTTCAGAGCACTAGGTGGTCTGTGACATGCCTTCCCTTACTGCCCCTTGTCCCAGGCATTGCAGGTCTGTGTCTCCCTGCAGCTTTGGGAGCGGTGTCTGCCGCTATCCCTGCCTGAGCCTCGCAGTGGGTGACGCAGAGGCCGGCCCTCCAGGCAGACTCTGGAAGGTTAGAACATTGCCAAAGAGGTCTTCTCTGTTCGTTTGGGTTTATGGGATGGAGTTGGGTCTGGTATGCCGCCTCCCCAAGATCAAGGCCATGTTGCGCTGGGGAGAGTGGTCCAGGGCAGGTAAGAGCACCATGAACTTTCCTACCATTCTGAGTGTGGCTTTTTGTCAATCAGGTGTTTATTTGGCCATTGTAGAGTTTCAACTTCTATAGAGCTCCTGCATGGTTATTTTAGGTTTTAGTTGTTTTTTAATGTTTCCGTGGGAAATAGGGACTTGGAGCTTCCATTTTGTTCTATCCCCTGCTGTTGAAGGTTCACATTCTATGGGAGGACTGGACAAGGCAGTTACCAGCACTCGGGGCTGGAGGGAAAGGCAAGGAACACCTTGTTCTTCTGGGAGCTCTTGAGAAGCATCCTTGGAGGGGTGAGAACCCAGCTGAGTCCTGGAGGCATTCCAGGTAAAGCAGCTCTCAGGAACACGGGCTGAGGTGCGTGGGGAAAACAATTAGAACTTGAGAAGTGAGGAATGCAAGGGGATAAAGAGGTGCAAAGGTTTGTTTGCCCAGCCAAATAGTTTCTATTTGGTCCTGAAAGTGATGGGAAACCTTGAAAACTAAGTGTGGCTGTGACAGGGTCAGATTTGCCTTGAATAAAGTCTCCTTTACTCAAGGAGAGGGCAGCAGCAGGCAGGACTGGAGCTGGGTCACTGGATGGAAGTCCCAGGACGGCTCCAAGGGATGACGCTGGCCAGGACCGCGACAGTGGCCTGAGGTCGAGAGGAAGAGATGCATTCAGAAATGAGAGTTGACAGAATTTAGTGACTGGGAGGCTGGGAGATGAGAATGGCATATCATTCCTGAAGTCAAGGAGTGGAGGGGGAGAAATTTTGAAGGAGCTGATAAATTGTGTTTTAAGTATTTTTAACTTGCACAAGACATTGTGGTGTATTGCCTTTGTGATTTAAAAAAAGTGAATCTCAGAGATGAGGCTGATGCCCCACTGGCCACCAGCCCCAGCCCTGCCCTCAGCGGCCAGCGCTGCCTCCGGCCTGGCGTGTGGACGTCCTTCCTTGCACGTTCTGAGTGTCCCCGCCCTGCCTGGGGAAGGTGGGTCGTGTTGCCTTTAGACAGACAACTTAATATTTAATACTCTGTCACTTGATTTCTTCTTCTTCCCACTGACACTTTAGAACCTCTGCTAAGTCAGTGCACAGGACGTCACCTTGCTCTTCGTGACTGTGGCATACAGCATTCCAGGGACTAGAGGGACCCAAAGTGCCCGCTGACAGAGTCTCGGTTTTGTCCCAGATTTCTGGTTCTAGCAGATGGTGCTGCCATAAGCATATTTCTGCATCTCTGCACATCAATGTGATTGCCACCCCCCCAGGAGCAGGTGCTGAGACGCGGGATTGCGGGGCTCTGGGCACGTGCTTCGATTGGATGGCACTGCCGGCCGCCCTCCACATGGCTGTTGCAGCTGGGCAGTGTGCGGGCCGCTCTGCACGCCCCGCCCCTTCTGGGTGGGAGGCGACAGACCGCTGCTCCGGTCTCTGCCTCTCGGGTCTCATGCACGAGGGCAGGCGTGCTGTCCCCGCCCTTTGTCTGTCTTCCACGAGTCACTTGTTTTTACCTTTTCCCCATTGGTCTGTTGGACTGTATTTTTCTCATGGATTCGTAGAAGTTCAAAAAAAATTACAGCCAATCCTTTATCTTGTCACCACCGTCTCCTCCAGTTTCTTGTTTATATTTAAGTTCGTTTACGATGTGGTATTGTGCTGAGGGAGGGAAGCCGGCCGGGGCTCACTGCGGCTCGCAGTCATCAGCGCTCGTCCGAGAAAACGGCAGGTGATGGTGTCAGAATGGCGTGGGTGTCAAAACCAAACCTGAGACGTGGGCTGGGGGCTTCCGGAGCCCCAGGGGCAGGGGGGAGGCTGTGTAGGGAGAGCGTGCGAGCAGGAGCAGGCCGGGGCTCAGGCCTTCATCATCCACAGATGTGAGACCTGACAGGTGGGCCGGAGAGGTGGCAGAAAGCCGGAAATGATGGGCGGGAGGACCCGGGACAGACGAGCTGTGACGAGGTCGAGGCAGCCCCTGGATTGAGGGTCACGCCCATCAGCTTCCGTTGTCGTTGTCTTGGTCCTCGCTCCGTCTGTTGTTTTCAAGGGGCCGACAGAGCAGGCGCCTGGTTTGTTGCATTTCCATTCCCAGCACTGCGTGGGGGGCCTGCCCGGAGTGGCTCTCACCCCACCTGACACACGGTATCTGTACGTCTGCACATGCACAATAAAATCTATAAAACCTTGTCAAAGGGATACACTTTGAAGTCTGCCCCTTTCCTTGAACAAATCTGGCAAAAGAAGTCTTCCAGCTGACTGGGCGTTGTGAGGAGGCGCTGTGACCTTTGGCTCACGTGGTGTATGTCTGGACCTGGAGAACTGCCTTTTACCAGCCTGGGCGGCCTCCAGGGCGGCCTGGCGGGAGGACAGACGTGGGGGTGACCTGCGCAGCGGTGCTGCTCTGGGGGGGACGTGGAGCGTGTCTACAGAGCCGGCTTCTCTTTAATGGTGGTGGCCACCGCTCCCTGGGCTGCAGCCAGCGTGTGGGCATCTGAAGCCCCTTCCTCGACTGTCAGTCTGGATCGTCTGCATGATCCAGTCCGAGGGGTGAAGGAACTGAGTTATGCGTGAGATAGTTTGTGCCTCGGCCCTCGGTGAAATTACTCACTCTGGGTGTGATTTAGTCACAGACTCACTGTCCTCCGTGTGCCTAGAGGTGGAGAGGAACTAATCCCTGCCCCGTCTGTGCTTGGACAAGGTCCCGTATGTTAATCTGAGAACGCGGGAGAACTCAGCAGCCCTGCGAGGGAGAGAGGCGTGTTCTCAGGAGAACTGACGAATGGCTGACTGGCAAGGGAAGGAAGAGGCAGAATAGAAAAAGCCTGAGGTTGCGAGCAGGACGCCAACAGGGAACTCTGACAGATAAGGACTGATAGCAAAGGTGAAGCCTCGGAGAGGTGAAGGCAGCAGGGAGAGGGTCAGGTGGTGTGGTTCTGGACCAGGGAGGGGACCGGGACACATGTGCACCCAGGTGCACTGAGGGGCCAGGGCCAGCAGGACCCCCGGCAGGGTCTGCCTCCCCGTCAGGTTCAGAAGCTGTGGCAGAGGGGCCCGCACTGTTCTCCTGAGGCCGGGTGTGGGCGAGCCCGGGTGTGGGCGAGCCCGGGTGTGGGTGAGCCTGGGTGTGGGCGAGCCCAGGGAGTACATATCCAAGCTACCAAAAGGCAAACACTCAGATGTTGCAGACAAATTAAAATTTATTGAGACAGACAGAGATGCACCTACTCAGGACTACAGTTACACAACTACCGTTAACCAAAGAGTCATGTTCACATTCCAGATAAGTCTATGTGCAAAAGCATTCAGAGTCTACTAGGTTTTTCTACATCACTATTTCATCTACAACAGGGACAACAAACTGACATTCAGGGTTTGGTGGCTCTCGTTACAATGCTACACATTGAACAGGGACACACATCAGTGGCTTTGAGAAAACGGTATAAAAAGACCAGACCACCTGCTGCAGAAAGGGCTCTCGGATGTCACTGCAGTGTGGCCAGGGAGGCGTCCTGGGAAAGCGGAGGGGCAGACCTGGGCAGACACGTTGTCCTTCGTTGCTGGGCCTGGGGAGACAGACACAAAACCTCAAGTTCAGTGGCAAGGTGTTTCCATGCTAGAAGATCTGTGGAAACCAAGAGATGCCAACGTGGCAGACAGCTAGCCGTGGTGGAGGAAAGCTCGGGTTCAAGTTGGGTGCTAAGAAACAGTATTAAATAAGAGAAGCATTTATGGCCTAAGAATAAAACTGTTTCCTAAGGAGTTTCCAAAAATGAGTTTGTGGGTGAGGGCTTGGTCCCTCTCTCAAACAAGGGACTGGGCTATCACAGGGGAAGTCATTAGTGTTGGTTTTATGTACGTATGCCTTATCACCAGCTAAAACACTCCTGTCGGAACAAAAATTCTACTTCTAGACATAAAGTAGCTAAAAAAAATCCAATCTTGAGTGCTTTTCACAAGTGAAAAGCATTAAAGACCTTTAGAAAATCTAATGCTGCCGTGTCCAAGTGAGGCGTGAAAAGTGGCACTGGCACGGCTCCGCTGATGTGGGATTCTGGGGGTAGGAGGGCTTTTTAGTTAATAGTTTAATGAATCAAAATATCTTCCTGGAACATCTCTGAAAGTGAGCGTCTCATTACCTTGCTGAGAATTGACTGCTGAGCACTCTTCTCCATCATTAAGTTAATGCTAAGGATCTTTAAGTGTCATCTTAATTTGACACTTGTCATAAGATAATTAGTTTCTCTAAGTGAAATCAATTTGTCGATTTTAATTTGTTCTCGTGTGCATTTTTCCAAGCTTGGAGGAGAGAGTAACAATGGTTTTCCTTGAGGGTCTAAACAGAGATTTTTTAAGTCTTGATTCTTTTATGTACTCTATTGTAATGTAGCTGCAATTAAGCACCTGTTTTCTAAATTATGATCTCAAAGTTTTGTGCGAGTTAGGAACAGAACATTACAACAGAGGTGAGAGGTGAGAGCTGACTTCCCAGCAGAGCTGGCCTGCGTCTCCCTGCATCCAGGCTGCACTGGTGTCCTACTGGGCCGCGGAGTTCGTTGCTTCATCATGTTCATGTCCGGCCTGAGACTAACTTCAGGGGTAAAGCCGCTCTGTCCGGCCAGTGCATGGGTTGGAAGTGTTAGTTTGAGGGGGGTGGGAAAAGTACAGAGAAATGGTCCCTCTGGGGTGGAGGGCTGGTCAGCCGCTACTGCAATGTGGTATGGCTGAGTCCATTTTTTTGCCCGAGTCTACGTGGGCTGGTGGACAGGCTGGAGCTCATGGGGAAGGATGGAAACCAACTGGGCCTGAGAGCCTGGCTGGGTGGCTGGGTGGGCGTCCAGGCAGGTGCAACCCATCTGGGGCAGGAGCTGAGGGGCCAGCACTGAGCTAAACAGGGCTACTTTGAAGACTACTCTTTGGTACATGTCCTTGAATCTGGGCCAGCCCAATAGGGAGAGACGTCCTGAAGACTAGGGACATGGTGACCCTACCGAATTCAGAGATGGGCTCTAACAGTGATCTCACTTAGGGGAAATAAACCAAGTGCTGAGAGACTTCCTTCATTCGTTTCCTGACGCTTGGTCGGGGCTTGGTGTGGAGCCAGGACTGGCTCTAACAGTGCCAGCCCTGCTTCCACGTGCTCCCACGAAGCTCTTCTAGGCCTCCCTCGGGAGTCTGTGCTGCTCATTACGACTGTGGATAGAAAGGGGGCAGAAGTGAAACATTGAGTGAGGAGTCCCAGATTTCCTTCTCCTATGTAGTACCGTGGTACTGTCTTCTCAGTGAAAGGGGGGTGCGCGAGTCCCCTGGAAAAAGCCCTTGAGTAGGCGGGGCAGGAGGCGCCTGCAGCAGACAGGGCCGCTGCGGCCCAAAGGGCCTTGGCGCTGAAATGAAAGAGGCGGCGCGTGACGCTGCCCGCCTGGGCGTCCATGGCTTGTGCGGGAAGCACGACATGGGCGGGCAGAGGTTCCTCCGGGTCAGAGGGGTCCCAGTGAGAAGAAACCTCTGCCGCCTGCAAGTGCCGACTGTTAGTGCAAGAAAGGACTTCGATATACATTTTATTTCAGAAATTGTGGTCCAGGTCTGAGCAGGCTCACACGTTTATAACTGTTTTCCACATGGTTTTAATGGGAGCCAAACAGCTTCTCCGAGTGGAGCGTGCGCCTGACTTACACACACAGTCTCTGCCGTACGCGTGGACCTAGGCACGCAGGTACAGAGAGAAGCATCCCCACACCAGTTTTTCAATAAAGAAAATCAGTTCCCCGAAAGGATTCTTGACTGAGTTAAGGCTCTTGTCTGTAGGAAGCCAGATACAGTGATGTGAATGACTAAGTATTCATAATACACACCAGGGGTGGGGGGAGCGGGGGAGTAAAGGACAGCGTGGCGTGTTTTCCACGACATCTACAAGACACGAGAGAAGCACTTAGCCACCGTAAGGCCGGGAACCATGCTGCGGCAACCACCGGTGTGGGGGTCAGACGAGGGCCTTGACGTTAGGGGGCGGGGCTCCCTGCGCGGTCAGGATCCCACACAAACCACATGCTCCTTGCAAAAGTCTCCTGGGCGGGAAGGGGCTCCAGTGCAGCCAGCCGTTCCCCCGTCTAAAAACAACGCGCACCCCTCTTCCCACGCAACCGACCGCCTCTGGGAGTCTGTGGGAAGGAGGAGCTGTCTTCCAGACCTCGGTCGGGCACGAGAGCAACAACGGCGCCGTGGAGTCTGAGACACAGATGCAGGAACAGGAAGTGACTTGCGACTCTGTGCCAACCTGTGTCCTCTTCCCGCGGGGACTACCATATGTAGCCGACCTCGTCCTCCTTGTCGTCGTCCTCGTCCTCGTCGTCCTCCGTCAGGGCCCGGGTGCGCACCCGCAGCTTCCGCAGCCTGTCCTCTGGTCCCAGCTCCCGCTCGTCCTCCAGGTCGTCCAGCAGGACCAAGGAGCCGCCGCTGCCAAAGTCGCCCGAGGTCTCCTGCTCCTCTTCTGAAACATGGAGAAGGTATTGGAGGTTAGTCTCTGCTCACTAGCGCAACCCTCGCATGGGACTGCGCTGCAGGGCAGAGCCACGCGTGCCCAGCCGGGGGGGTTACTCTGCAGGGCCCAGACCCAAGCTGTGTTCTGATCGGAGCCCCGGGAATGCTCGGGATGCTTCCGCCTGCTCGGGACGTTTACAACCCTGGCCGCAAAGTGGAGGCCACCCGAGGTGACCCAAGCCACCCATGCTTGGCCTGCAGCAGTTTCTGTCTCACCCTGTTGTCCGGCCAGCAGCCACGGCGAGGGCCAGTCCCTCGAAAGCTGGCCCTGTGGATCTCATGCAACTTCAGGTCACTCGCTCTCCACTGCAAACTCACTCCCTGCGGCCACAGCCACCTCCTGAAATCCTTCCGCTCAGACCCTAGCACAGCGTGAACCCGCGGGTACCGAGGGCACCGGGGCGGACGCGGGAGGCCTCACTCACCGCAGCTCACGGCGCCCTGTTTCCGGGAGCCCGCCAGCTCATTCCCGTACTTGTCCACGCACCAGCACTGGCCCGTGCTGCCATGGCACTGCGTGGCTTTGTAATAGCCCTCCTCGTTACAGCGCGGCGTGAACGTTCCTGGGGGATCGGAAAGGGAGAGAGCTCCGGTCAGTGCCTGGCAGGACGCAGAGAGGCTCGCAGGTCGGACGTGGTCCCTGTGGCGGGGCCGGCGGGAGGGAGCCGCTGGGTCAAGGCTGCGGGGCCCCCTGGGCAACTCAGGGATCGACCGGGCTCCTCCTAGTCTGTCTCTAATCACAAATACACACTACTCTTATTAGTAACTTTTATTTTTCATGGTTTTCCAGTTTTATTGAGGTGTAAATAACACAGCACTGCATCTAACTGAAGGTGCCCGGCACAGTGTTTTGGATTACTCATATTGTGACATGACCACTACGGTCGGTTCGGTTTACATCCCTCATCTTGGGCAGACAGGAAAAAGGAAAGAGAGTTTGCTTTGTGGCGAGCGCTGTTGGAATTTCCTCTCCCGAGGGCTGAGGAGACACCTCACCGCAGTGCTCACCAGGGGCCATGCTGTGCCTGCACCCCTGCTGCGCCCTTCTCACCGGGCACTCGCATGCTTTGACCCCCACCCCTGCCTGCCTGCCTGCCTGTGGGGTCCAAATCTGCTCTCTTCTTCTATGAACTTAGGTGTTTTTTTTCAAGGTTCCACATACAAGGAGACCAGACAGTGCTTGTCTTTCTCTGACTTATTTCACTGAGCACAATGCCCTCAAGGTCCATCCATGTCATCACAAATGGCAAGATTTCTTTGTGTTGATGGCTGAATAATATTCCACGGGATGGGTGGACATACACACATACACACCACTTCTTTATCTGCTCATCCGTCAGTGGACACTGGGGCTGCTTCTGTGTCTTGGCAACTGTCAATACTGTGAACACAGGGTGCATATGTCCTTTCGAGTTGTTTTCGTTTTCTTCGGATAATCCCCAGAAGTGGGACTGCTGAGCCGCCATGCTGTTTCCCACGGTGGCTGCACCACTTTACAGCCCCGCCAGCAGGTGCAAGGACCCCCCCTTCTCTGTGCCCCCAGCACCTGTCATCTTCCCAGTGACAGCCATTCAGACAGGCGTGAGGTGACCTCAGCAGGGTTTTGACTTGCATCTCCCTAATGATTAGTGACACTGAGCACTAATGTGCCTATTGGCCATTTGTGTATTTTCCATGCAAATATATCAATTCAGGTCCTTTGCCCATTTTTAATTGGATAATGATGATGGTTTTTGCTATTGAGTTGTATGAGTTCCTTATATGTGTTGGGTATTAGCCCCTTATCAGATATATGGCTGGCAAACACGTTCCCATGTTCCGCAGGCTCTGTGCACGTTGTCGACAGTTTCCGTGGCTGTGCATAGGCTTTCGGTTTGATGTGGTCCCATATGTTTTTGTTTGTTTGTTTGTTTGTTTTTTACTTAGTTGCTTGTGCTTTAGGTGTCAGATCCAAAAGGCCATTGCCAAGACCCAGGTCAAGGAGCCTTTTTTCTGGGTTTTTAGGCGCTTCATGATTTCAGGTCTTACATTTAAGTCTTTAGTCTATTTTGAGTTAATTTTTGTAGGCAGTATAAGATAGGGGTCTAGTTTTGTTCTTTTACATTACACATGTAATTCTTCCAGCACTCTTTATTGGACAGACTGTCTCTTCTCCATGGAGCATTCTTGGGTCCCTTATCAAGTCTTAGTTAACATGCAAGGGTTTATTTTGGGGCACTTGATTCTCTTCTGTTTCACTGGCCTGTGTGTCTGATTTTATGCCACATGGTTTTGATTGCTATAGCTTTATAACAGCCTGAAGTCAGAAGTGTGATGCTTGCTGCTTTGATCTTACTTCTAAGGACTGCTTTGGCTATTTGGGGTCTTTTGTGGTTCCCTACAAACTATGATTTTTTTCATGCTCGATAAAAATGCCATTGGAATCTTGTTAGGGATCTATAGGTAGATGTAAGATAATACTTCAGGTAGTTTTATTCTTCTAATCCATGAACACAGGTGACTTTTGATTTGTGTCTTTGATTTCTTTCATTCATGTCTCATGGTTTTCAATATAGAGCTATTTCGCCTCCTCAGCTAAATTTATTGTTTTTGATGCTATTGTAAATGGGATCATTCATTCCTTTTTTGATAATTTGTTATTAGTGTACAGAAATGCTACTGACTTTTGCATGTTGATTTTGTATCCCCAAAATTTACTGAATTGGTTGATTATATCTAATGGGATTGGTGGTCTTTTGGGTTTTTTAAAATAGAAAATCATGTCATCTGCAATATAAACAATTTTACTTCTTTCCAATTCTGATTTATTTACATAAATATTTCTTTAGTAGCCTGATTGTTCTGGGTGGGATTCCAGCATCAGTTCAGACGGGGGTGGTGAGTGGCTGTGCGTGATGTTGGCTGTGGTCTCGTCACAGGTGGCCTTTGTTATGTTGTGGTAAGTTCCTCCTGTAACTCATTTGTTCTGAGCTTTTATCATGATTGATTGTTGAACTTCTGCATCTACTGAGATGATCATATGACTTTATCCTTCATCTTGTTAATGTGATGTATCAGATTGGATGATCTGCATACATTGAACCATCTGTAGGTCATGGGGAATCATCCTTTTAAATGCGGCTGACTCTGGTTTGCTAATACGTCTTCAGAAATTTTGCATCTGTATTCATCAAGAATATTAGCCTGTACTTTCCTTACAGTGTCTTTTCTGGCTTTGCTAGCAGGGTGATGTCAGTCTTGTAAAATGAATTTGAGAGTGTTCCCTCCTCTTTCAGTTTTTGAAAGACTTTGAGAAGGATTGATGTTAATTCTTCTTTAAATGTTTGGTAAAATTTGTCAGTGAAGCCATCTGCTATTTGGTCCTGGGCTTTTCTTCTTTGGGAGAATTTTGATTACTGATTCATAGTATAAAATGATTTGGGTATTTTTCTTTTTTTTCTGTAGTCTAGACATTTTGTATAAAACGAGAATGCTCTTCCATGAAGTATTCATCCATAAAACTATTTTGGGCTTGGCGCATAATTGGAGGAATAAGAGTAGCATTTTGATTTAAATTAATTTCATAGCTTATAATCTAGCTGCATCTTCTGGTTCTTTGTGACTTAAACGTGATTATTCATAGTGTCCATTCTGACCAGTTTTTCGTAACTGTGATAAGCTGATACCCCCATAGCAGTGGCTGTCAGAGCGCCCCCGCAGGGCGAGCAGCTGCAACACCACCTGGGGGTATCATAGAAAAAGCAGGTTCTTGGGTCTAACCCCAGAGCTGCTGAATCAGGAACTTTGTGAATAGGGCTCAACACTCTGTGCTGCAGTAAACCCCCCAGTAGTTCCGTCCCGCTGGAGGTGAGAACTGCCAGTTTATGGGGTCCTCCCATGTGTAGAGTCCTGACAGCTGTGGAACCTGCCACACTGGCAAAGGGGGGCTCATTCACTGTTCACCGCTTCGGTCTTAATCACTTCAGGTGGTGATCCTGCTTCCTGATTTGAAAATTGCTAGTTTTTCTTTAATAAATGCATTTGCAGCTGTGAATTTTCCTCTTAAGTTTCACTTCAGTAGCTTCCCTCCAATTTCGGTACACAGTGCCTTGCTTTTCCTTCAGTTTAAGTGTTTTGTGGGCATACTGCCTGCATTTCATCTTTGACTGTTTATAAAAAACTCAGCTGTGTGGGGTTTTGGCAATCTGATTTTTGACTTCTACTTTTATTATGTTGTGGCAAGTGAATTTGATCTGTGATGGGTTTTTATTTCCCCCTTTTGAGATTTGTTGAGTTTTCTTTTTGGCAAAATCCATGGCAACTATTTGATGTGTGTGAAAAGACTATGTACTCATATATCCTGTGCTGATGTATACGAATACATAGGTATGACTGTTAACTAATCATGCCATTCAATTCCTCTTTCTCTCTGTATTTTTGCCCACTTGAAGTGTAAGTTTCAAGGAAAGAGGTACATTGAAATCTCTGTGATTATAAATATAACAATGTTTTAAAGTTGTGAATATACCAATTGATGGTATCATGTGGTGAAAGGAACATTTAAGCAAGATATTGTCTCTGTTTAGAATTCAAAATTAAGTATTTGCTGCTGTCAGATTTTAACATTACTATAAAAATGAGTCTTTAGTATCTTTTAAGCTCGTGTTTTGCATGTAACTCTCTTCTTAAAAGCACCGATGGTCTTTGAGTGCGGCGGCCCCACTCACAGTCACTGGGACTATGGACAGGCTTGCGCTCACTCCTGCCACTCTGTTTTGTGTTTTCTATTTTTTAAATGTTCCCTCTTTCCTGCCTTTTGTTGAAATACATCTTCTTTATTCCATATTTTTCTCCTATAGGTTTAAAAACTATATATTCTAGTCCTTATATTCTCGTTACCCTTAATTTTCCACAAAGAAGCATATTTTTACATATAAGATCTAAAGTCAGCCTATGTGTTTTCTTTCTGAATAAATCAGAAATTTAACACATTTTTTATAGGTCATATTTATTTAGATTTAGCTCCATGTCCTTTTTCAGTTAACTCCTTCTGGGCGTGTTCATCTTCTGCAGCGCACACGGCCGTGGTGAGACTTCAGTGCGGCGGGGCCCGAGCACGTGCTGCACCCGCGTCCGAGACTCTCTCCGCCACCACACGGGACACGCTTGTCGGGAGGCGTTGACTCCGGGCTGAGAGGGCTTTCCTCTCAGCGCTTTGCAGGCATTATCTCTTCAGTCAGTGTCTCGAGTCCAACCCTCACATAGTTGCAGATGCTCGACACGTGGGCTAGTGTCCAGTTTTTCATCGGGTGTCTGCCTGTGACTGTGTCGTGGTCGATGGCAGAATCCGCCCTAGTGAGTAACCTTGTCTGCGTGGACCGTGTGCACACAGGGTTCTGCTTACTGCTGTGGCTTCCTATTCCCAGATTTTAGTTCTGATTTTTTTTAAGTAGCTTTTAAAATTTACTTCTTACTTTATAGTATAGACTCCAACAAGAAATGTGGCTTGGGAGGGAGAAATTTCTGTTATTTGAACCTGGACTTGACCCCAGCTTCCAGCTGATTCTAGGACCAGCACGGAACACTCAGCTCATCGGGCTATCCAGGGCGGCTGGGCTCTCAGACGTCACGGGAGGGAAGGTGTCCCCAGGAAGGCATTCCTAAGTGACAGGCAAGCCTGCTGCTGCCATGCCCACACGCTGAGTTAGGGGCTCAGCACCCCAAGTCTTCAGGGAGCAGGAGGAAGAAAGAGTAGATGCTTTCAATAACCAAAGAGCAGAGAGACTTGGGAACAAGTAGGAAGCTGGGGAAACGTGGCGTCTCCTCCTCCAGCTGCAGGCGGAAAGCCGACGGACCCACCGGGCCGAGTCCCGGGCTGGAGGGAGGCAGATGCTGCTCTAGACTGTACTGCAGCAGGGTCGCCCCTCTCCCGAGTGGGCTCAGTGTGAGTGAGTGCGATCTTTTGGTGGTGGTTGTGTCTATTCATTTTTTAAATTGAAATACCCCTAAATACAATTTATTGTATTAGAAAATTTCATCATGTGAAAAGTAATTTGTAAGCAGATAAATGGTATCTTTATGAGTCAGGCAGTGATTCCCATATGTGGGGAGAGGTGATATAAAGTAAGCTTTGAAACGAGGTGGGCTTCATGGTCGCTGGGAAAGCAGAAGATGGACCATGTCATCTCAGACCACATCTTCTGTCTCATTCATTAGGAATTAGTGAGGCCGTAAGAAGACGTCCGTGGCCAAAGGAAACACATTCTTAAACACAGCATTGTACTGGCTCTACAACCACCCGTGGGCCTCAGACACATCACTCACACCCCACACAGGTCCCAGGGAAGGACCTGTGGGAGAGGGATCTAGCCACACTGCCCTCCGCTCAGAAGGATGCCTTTATGTGGTTTTTAGCGGGAGAAGAACCCAGGCCCCGGCAGGTCAAATTCACGACTCTGGAGCTCTGGGCTGAACAGCGTTGTCAGAAGCACTGGGTGTGAGGCAAGCACGCCGGTGAAACAAGTGATCTTCAAAGTGGAAGGGAGGCGCGCATGTGCTTCGAGGTGTTAGAGGAGGAAAAATCGCCCGAGTTCAGACAGCCTACAGCTGACAATCTGTTGAAAAACCATTTCCATCAAGTAAATAAACTTGTGAAGTGGCAAGCTGCTTAGGGAAAACCCTGTTCCTAAATGTTTGATAAGAATAATTCTGAACTATTGTTGCAGCCAGCAGTGAAGACTCCTTTCTTCCTAGCAGACAATGGTGTTTGCCAACCGCTTGGGGATGGTGCAGGGCGGGAGGGAGGCCACCCCAGGCCAGGCTGGTGCACTAGGCCCAACACACGCAGCCGCCCGCTTCCCCTCACCACTCGGACGAGGGCGCAAGCAAAAGCGTACAGTGTGCAAATCGCTGTACACTCTCTTCTGGGCATCACACGTGGGAAACAATCTGGGGAAGGACACTCATGTCCTTGCTGGACTTAGCTGGGAGTGTGGCTCATCTTCCTCCTTGAATGGACAACTTGGTCTGGAGAGGACAGGCAATTCTGTACCTTACAGACCTTATAATTGTACAGTTGGAGGAAACACCTTGACAGCCCACTCAATGGCTGTACTTAAAAGAACAAGTGAAGATTCACTGGAGCCCAGGGTCAGGGAGGAATATTCTAGCCTTGGCCGCCCTGCCCACCAGCCCTGAGCCTCCCCTCCTGCCAGTTCTCAACCAACTAACCAGTCCTTGGATGGGGTCCAGCTGCCTGGGGCACAGTGCCAGCTGCCTAAAGGGACCTGGCTGTGTGGGGTCCATTGGGACATTTCTTCATGCGGCACGGGTCCCTAACTGAACAACCAGTGCTGTGCTCAGTGTTACAAGACACGATGGTGTAATTAGTTGTTTAAACAACTGATAAGAAATTGTACTCACCCAACAGGCTCTTCCCCTTGCTCAGTTTCTGAATCCTGTTCATTTCGTTCTGGCACGGGAGACCTGAAAAATAATTTATGAGAGTCACTTTCCAGATGGTGCAGGGGGTAATCTCTAATGATTGGCTTGAAATGTAGACAATGACACACCTGGGAGTGGAATTGCTCCGTATGTTGTCACTAATTAAAAAAACAAAACTTAAACCACGAGGTACTTAAAATACTATTTGGGGGCTACTTGAGCTGTACAGGGGTTTTCCTTCCCACCACCAACTCCCACAAATACCAGTTGTCTGGCAGGCAAGTTGCTAGCAGACTTTATATGAGAAGTACATACTCAGTGGAGATTTCTGTGGGCTGAGGACCAAAGCTTATGAGTGGGTGTGTGTTCTGAATCCACAGACCAGCCCAGCTAACCAGAGGGGAGGCCACAGACAATTAGTGCCGGCCTTGCTGGAGGAGAGGAGCCCATGGCTTGCTGCCCAGGGAAGTGAGACGCAGGCCTCAGGGGACAGTCGTGAGGCCGCACGAGCCATCTAGAGAGACGGTGAGCGTGACTGCCCGCTCCGGCCGGTCTCCGGGCCCTCGGTCACGGAACACGTGCTGCAGTGAAGGGCCGACACAGCAGAGTGCACGGCTGAGCCTGTCCTCTCCTTTACCTTCCAAGAGAACTTCCATTCCGCACAGAAAGAAGGGTGACCTCACAAGCTCCCGAGACTTCCCCCGACTGGCCCCTGTGGAGCCCATGGCTCTGGGAGGCCCTGCTCTTGGCTCAGTGTCCTCCAGACGGGGACACAGGTGTGGTGAGTGTCGGGGCAATTACGCTGCCCGTGTACCTGCAAGCAGGGGGCTGGAGGACGCACCCCAGCACCTATTTGCACCTGCTGGTAGTGCCGGTGGGCTTCCCAAGCCACCTGGCTTTGCTGCTGTGCCCTGAGAGAAACCGGTTGGGGACGCATTCTGTTTCCTGCTGGGTTTCAGATACCAATTGAAAGCAACAAAGAAAAGGGAAAACCAGTTCCACCTGTGATGATTAAAGTTAGTATTTACTATGAGAAATGGTGAAAATTTGTTGAATTCTTAGACTGTACCAGACAATGTTCTAGAACTCTACACCTTAACTAATCTTTACAATAACCATAGAAGGTGGGTACGAATATCATTCCTAGTTTGTGAACAGAAACGCTCCACTTTGTAACTGCAGCAATGCAGAGAGGCTGCAGGCATTTAGAAGGCTGGTCCTGAAGAGAAGGAAGATCAGAGTCATTCCTAGAAACACGGTATTGGAGAGTTTTCTGTGACATAAGTTTCCATTGTAAGGGTGCGCCCTCAAACTTAAATCTCCACTTATTGAAAACAAGGAGACACACAGCGGCCGGAGGCCCGCCTGCTGACCACCGCTGCAGGAAATGCAGAGGGACGAACACGCAGAACTCCAGGGGGAGCGATCGTAACAGGAAAGGTTTGTGGGAGAACATAGCTCCCAGAGGTCTCTCTGAGGAGTCGAGGATTTGACCGAAGAAGGGACCTGTCTGAGCTTTATGAACAGATACAAAGCGTGAAAATGTCATAGAAATGATGCCTTCGTCAGGAGCTACAAACAGGTGAAGCGCTTGAGAACGGATTGACCACGTGGAACAAAGAAGTTTTCATTCTAGAGCCGAACGTCTGAGGACAGAGTGATGCAGACGGAGAAAAGCTAAGACATGTCCTAGGAAATCCGTGCCCTTAAAAGGTAAAGGATCCTTTTGGCTTCCAGACAAAGTGGTTCTATCACCAACAGAAGGAAAGACAATTAGTGTGGTTCACACAACTCCGTAGTTACACCCAGTGCTAGGAGCAGAGTGTTTGTTTGAAAAAGCTACCAAGAAAAGAAACTGTCACTCCAGGAAGTTTATACTTAGCATCTTTGTTTTGTATGAAGAAAACAGAAATATTTTCATACATTCAAGGACTGATTCAAAGAACAGATTCCTCATGAGAATTTGTGGGAAAAAAGCCTAAAACTCAAATTTAGTGATTAAAAACTAAAGAGAATAATCAAAACCAGTCAACAAATAACCTTACCACCTGAAAAGTGCTAACAACTGTCTTGGGCCAAACAGGCCCTCAGCACCTTAATAGAAGAATTATCTACAAATCAGCTATAATGAAAATACCAGCTATGAAAACCTATGGTCTACAGCTAAGAAACTACTCTGGAAAAAAATTTAGCCTCAACTATATACTTGATAAACAGAAAATAATAAAATGTAGAAGTTAAATGAAAATCCCAGAACTGGTTCTGGGTCAGGGACAGAGGCAGTGGGAACCTAACAAAAAATAAACTGACTTAAGGAAACGGGAGAACGGCCACAGAGCTCCTGGGGGCCACGGCCTGCTGCAGGCCGGGTGGCTTCCTCCAGCGGCTGCCAGCAGGGACACACCCAGGTGCTCCCGAGCGGCCAGGTGGCCCGCTCTCTCCTCGAGTCAGTCAGGCTGAGCCTGAACCTGGCTAAAGGCACATGAGATTTAGGAACTCAAGCCCATATCTGTCATGAAGTGTAATGCCAAGCCACTACAAGCTTTCTACTGAAGTAAAAAACATGACTGTTACTTAACACCCGTGTGAAGGAACCAGCACGTGGGAGTAGGAAAGGGAAAGAAACGAGGTACAGAAGCTGCAGAGGAAGACGGAAAATGGTACCCACTCTCAGAGGGTATGACAGCACACCCGAAAACCCAAGGAAACCCACCAGAATAACCACTCACGCAGAATGAGGATTCAGTGAGGTGGCTGAGAACAAAATTAACATGGAAACAGCCACCAGTGAGCAGATGCAATGGACAGTGACTGATCTCGGTTCCAACGGCAGCAACGGTAACCCAGAGGGGAAGTGCTGTGCTGGTGGGAACTAACTGGGCGGCCCGCTGGCTGGTAGGCCCTGTTCTTGAATAAAATGGTTCGCTATTCCACAGCTATCACCTCTCTCTAGATTAAATGTTTGCCTGCCTCCAAAAAAGAAACAGTAAGAATTTTTTTAATGGAATAAACTGATTCTGAAGCCAAGAAGCTAACAATATAAGAATATCCAGGAAAGCTCTGAGAAAAGATTGAAGGCAGGGGAGGTTGGCCCACTCGATGGTGAAGTGGACTGTGAAACAGCTGCGATTTAAATGATTTAGAACCGATTTCTGAATGAATAGCTCAGTGACACAGTGAGCATCCAGGAACAGACAGACAGCTGTACAGAGAACTGTACTTAGTGTATAGTTTTATGTGCACTAGGGGAAGCATTTCACAAGGAGGCAGAAAGACGGGTCAGCCACCAGCTGTCAGGAGAGCAACTGGACAGCCGCCCGGGGAGTGTGGGGGCGGAGCAGGGGCTGCGCCCCGCTGGACTGCACACCAGAAGAATGGAGAGCGGTACAAGATTTCAATAAACACTTACAAAAAGAACCCCAAAAGGTTATGAAGAAAACTGCTTAACCTCCTAAAATGGGAAGCTTAATAATGTAAGCTTTATGGATTCTAAAGGCCATAAAGTAAAAGATGGAGAAATCTATCTAAAAATTTCTCCCTAGCAAAAATACAGGCAAAGTTGAGGGGAAAAAATTGCAATACATATGGCAAGAATGGTATTAATATTCTCAGAGAAAATTCCTATTTAAAACAAAAAAACCCACAAGAACAGAAAAAAAGAAAAACCTAGACATTTCAAGGAGAAGGAAACTCAAGAGTGTCTCTAACAAAGATGTTCAACCCAAGTTGTAATAAGAGGACTGAAACGAAGCCTAGAAGGAACTACAGTTTCTTGTCCCCCAGTTTGAAAATGATCGCAGTTTGGCAAGGCCATGGAAAAATAGGTATGCTGTGTAGTTTTCATGGGAGTGAAAACCGTTAGAACGTCTCTGGAGGGCAAGTTGGAAACATTGCTGAAACTAAAAAATGCACGTGGCTTTTGACCACTCATTCTGCTTTTAGGAATGCCCCTCACAATCCTATAATGTGCACCTGCACGCTCGCTGCGTGCCCTTCCAGGACGCCTGCCCGTGCTTTCTGCAGGGCGTGTGCTGTCTGGGCATGAGCACACGCACCCTCAGTGTAAACACTTCAGCGTTAGTGCCCATCTTCCTTTCTGGGGCAGCTCCGACCGCCATGCTGACCTGACCTGGGCTGCACTAGGTTTGGGGGGGTGAAGGAGGCCAATCTCTGCCGGTCCTGTGAGTTGCAGGCCACACCACGTGGGCACACCCCCCGGGAAGCTGGGACAGAAACAAAGCCAGGCCCCGAGACCCCTCAGGGAGCCGCAGAGCCCCTGCTGGATCCCTGGGAGGCTGCGCAAGGGCAGGCCCCCCCGCCCCCCCCCCAACGGTGTGTCCCAGCGGGTCCCTCGGACCCTGCCTTCTTTCTGTCTTCAGTTTGCTGGAGTTTATTTACAACCCGAGTGTCCTCGTCTAAGACACTCAGTGCAAACCCTTTCTCTAAGGGAAGCATGGAGGACCCACGTGGCAGTAGGGGTTACCCGGTGAAGATTTCTCTACCCGTTTCACAGATGAAAATGCTGAGGTGCAATATAGTCAACAGAGCTTCGCAAAAAGGCAGACAGAAAAAACGGACTCCCTGGTCAGGCTCTTGGGTCTCCCAAAATACCAATACCCTGTTAAGAACAGAAAGAAAATAAGAGAGAAGAGCCTTTGTGCTTGCCAGTAAACGGGACGGATGCTTTGTGGCCTGTCTGCCTCCCCTGTGGGTGTCCAGCCGCAGGGTTGCCCCGCCCGCCCGCCTCACCTGCAGGCTTCTGGAAGCAGTAGCACCACTCGTTGTTGGAGAGCTTGCCGTCCTTGAAGGAGTCGCAGGAGTTGAAGAGAGGCTTGATGCAGGGCTCGTACTTATCCAGGTAGATGGCATTGATCTCCGAGTGGTCCAGCAGGAGGTCGTAGTTCATGTCCAACTTGTTGAACATCCAGCCCAGGGAGTCCTTGCAGATGGGCAGGATGCTGGTGTCAAACCCTGCCGAGGGAAAGGCTCGGGTCAGCTGCCACCACGCCCAACCGGCTGTCCCTGCTCCGAGGAGGCCCAGGCCCCTCCTTCCTGAGACCTTTCCCTGAAGGGTTCACCCTCAGTGGCCCTGCACTAAATGTTGTGGGTGGGGGTGGGGGGTTAAATGAAACAATTTAAAATGCACAGAAACCGAAGTCAGCATTTAAGGAAATGTGTTTGACGGGAATAAATCCCCAATGCTGATTTATCTGTAATGTACTGTATTTTGCTGTGTACCATGTGTGCTATTTTTGCCCAAATTTTTGAGGGGAAAACAAGGATGTGCGTTATGCATGGGAAGTGCTAATTCCATATCTGTAGCACTGCTTTTAATTCTTTTATTTATGCGTATGTGTGAAAAGTATAACTCTAGAAAGCAATGATATCCGTATGCAAAATAATACTCTGGGCTACGGTAATCAGTTTTGTTTCTAAGTATAAATAAATAAATAATTGAATCAAAGCTATGAAATGAAAGTTCTTTTTTTCTGAAAGTTTGGGCCAAAACCGTGGGTTCGCATCATACACGAGAGCACATTATACATGGCAGAACACGCAAGCATGGGTTTTCATGTACGTGACCTGCTTGAACAGGGTCTGCGTAAAAGGAAGAGTGGATGGTCCTGCAAACTGTACTTCGTTAGGAAAAAATATGATCTGAAAAGTGAAAACAAAGCCACCTGTGCAAGGATGGCAGTGGAATGCTGCAGCTGTGTGGCGCCAGCAGGAGCCCGGCTCCCACCCCGAAGCGCGGTGGCCCCGGGTAGCCTGGACACCGACGGGGGCGCCCCTGTGCCTCCCGAGGGGCTTCTTTTCTGCTGTGCCCTCAGGAGGCACGGGATACAGAATCCAAACGGACTTGGACAATATTCCTTTCTCATTTCCTGGGAGCAGTGGGGTTAGTTTTCTTAAAGAGCTACTTGCTGCCACAACGGAGACCGTGGGCACTCGAATAATGACCCTCGGAACGCTGCGTCCACTGCAGCTGGAGCCCAGGGGCCGGCCCCAAGCCAGAGCTGGGCTTCCGCCCACAGTCGGGTTAGTCCACAAGCCGGACTTCTCTGGGGCTGCTTTTACTTCCCAGAAAAAGGATAAAGGTTCGCTTTTGTCTTACTTAAGACACCCTCCTCAGCACTCTGTACTTAACTGTCTCCGGGGACCCTTGGACCAGCCCCGTGAAATGCTGCTGCTGCACCCTCCCCGCTTCACCCTGGGTGTGAAGGCGTGAGTGACTTGCTCAAGGTCCCACAGCTGTCGAGCTGGGATTCAAACCCAGGTGGCCGGTGCCACCCCGAGTCTACAGTCTGCCCCTCCCAGGGCTGGCCCTGCCTCACGGGACGTGTGATACTCCTGTCCTGAGGGTGTCCGGTTGGCTAGGGTGCCCTGTTTGGGGACGGGTGGCCATGCAGGGTCCTGATGGGGTCGCTCGCCTTGTCTGCATCACCAGGAACGCCTCCCTGCTCAGTCTGCGGGAAACCAGACAGAGCCAAGTACTGCCCCCCTTTCTGAAGCAGTTTTCACCAAGGGGTCCTGGCTAGTCAATAAGGCACGTGCAGGACCGTCTCCCAGCTCTTGTAGAACCCTGCGCTCCCTCCTCTCAAAGGCCCCTCGTGCGCCAAGCCCAGGCGGGCACCTGGTCAGTGCTGCATAAAGTATTTGTCGAGAGAGGTTTTCTAGCTACTGCCAAGTTGAACCCTTAATACATAAAAATCTTTCCATTTTTAAATTTGTTCCTTTTAGTGTCTCAGAACACACCTTGGATCATTCCCTTTCTAAGAAGGGGGACTCTGGACAGGACTGAGCCCCTCGTGGAATGGTGGCATCTCCCCAGGGGCCGCGGAGTAAAGGAAGCAATTTACTCAGACCTGAGGTGGGTCCCCACTTCTGCGCAGAATATCCTGTTCATCGATTTCAGAGGCTGGCACCGTTCCAGCGCACGGGAAAGACAACTGACCGCCAAACAAGTGCTGGCTGGGCGGTAGTCTGAAGGTCAAGACCACTTCATATCTACTTGGAAGTCCTAGAAAAGATGCTCCTGCATCTGACAGCCAGGGTAGAGGGGGGAACAGAGCAGCCCTTCTAACGGGCCCCAAGCATGTGGGACATCTAGGGTCCCACGGCCTCCCCTTCAGAGCTCCTGGACTGACCAACATCAGCGTCTCTGCCTCCTCTGGCCTCCAAGCCTCACCCCTTCTATTCCCTTCACACCAGGGGCTTCAGGACATCAAACCTAAAGGCCTCGTCAGGGACTGAGCTTGCATCTGCCCAAGGGGAGGTCATTCCCCGGCTGCCCCATCTGCACGTGGACCCTCCGGGGACCGGAGATTGTCCACAGAGCCCCAGGGTCCAGCTGCTCCTGGAGGAGCCCAGGGAAGAGTTTCCCTAGAGCACCCCTGACGGAATGGTCCTCCCAAGGAAGGCCCAGCAGCGGTGAACAGAAGGCACCTGACCCCCCCTCCCCACAGACACAACCACGCTTCGGACACTTCGATTCGGGAAGCAAACGTTCTCTCCCCCTCAAGGCAGAAGATCCAAACTAAACTAGGGTAAGGATGGTCCCCTATATTCCCTCCTAGTATCGGGGCTCCACGCAGCAAAGAGTAACCAAAAATTAAGGGGATCATTCTTATTCTGGCTGGAGCCCGGATGCTGGTCAGACTCGGAATCCCAGCGGTCACAGAACCCCGTGAACTTGAGCAACTGTGTTGCCGCCGGCTCACCCGTCCTGTGCGGACCAGCCTCAGCGGGGAGAAGCCCACCGCCTGTCAAGCACAAGGACGAGGACCTGCTCTGAGCGCTCTCTCCGGTCCCCGAAGAGGCTGCGCGTGGCCGCTGCCGGGCAGTGCGGGGTGGGGGCCCTGCCTGGGGGCGTCCGTGGAAAATGAGGTGCGGCCTGATAGATGTTCACAAAGATTATCAGATGTTTGTGCGATGCTGTTTAAAGTGGCTGAACACCAGGAACAACTTCAGGGCTCCAAAAACCAATGGCTACTTGTATCAATTATGTTACACCCATAACCTGGGGTTCTGTGCAGCTATTACGAAGCAAGGCACTACTCTGGGGCATGGAAAGATAGCCGTGGGATGTTTCGAAATGACAAAAGGGGGTGAGAAAACAGTTCACAAAGTGTGATATGCACACGCACATTTTTTCCTATATGATGAGGGAAAAGAAGTATCACAACATGCTTCACAGGTGTTAAAATGGTGGGTTTAGAGCCCTGGCCAGGGGCTGAGTTGGTTACAGCGCTGCCCTGACACGCCAAGGTTGCGGGCTCGACCCCCAGTCAGGACCCGTAGAGGATCAGCTGGTGCGTGGAGCAACAAGCCGATGTCTCTGTCTCTGTCTCCCTCCCTCCTTCCCTCTCTAAAATCAGTTAAAAATTTTTTAATGGTGGGTTTATAGATTTTTGAACATATTTTTATATATATTTTATTCCCCAAAATGCCTCTACTAGACATATGGTAATCTTATAAAAATACAGTTGACCTTTGAACACTGAGGGTAGGGGCACGGCCCACTACACCCAGGAAAACCCGCAGGGGACCCCAGCCGGCCCTCGGCTCGCGTGGACTCCCAGGCACGGACCCAAAACGCGTGTGGGTGCATTGTTGTGCTGTCTCAATTCTAAGGCATCTCCCCTCTTCTATATGTCAGTACTTCTGAAATCTTAAAATGAAATACTGTTACTAGTGGGTGTATTCAATGTAGTGTCTCCTTGCTCTTGCTCACCCCACGTGCTAGTGCTGACTCAACAGTGTTTGATGCCCGAGGAACCTGGCGTTTAAAATGAAATAGGTTAGCAAGAGCGCGATGGTCTTACTGCCTTGGGCCGCGTCGGGGCTGGTGGGTTTGATGACCCTGTTGGCATCCTCGTGGAGGGCTCCGAACCAGTCCTTCAGCCGGGCAGCGAGGTTCCTCAGCTCCTTGTCTGTGCAGGCTGCGGGGAAGCAGAGGGGAGGCGCAGTGAGCCCCGGGCTTTCTCCTCTTGTTCGCTCTGCGCCCTCACAGCGGGGTGCCATCAGCAAAGCCTTGCCCAGACGCGCCTCCCTCTCCGGCCACAGTGTAACTCCTTGCCCCCACTCTGATACCCGCCCCAAAGGGGTAGGACAGAGAGCCTCGACCCCCTGGGGCAGGCCGCGTTGTTCGGAACTGAACTTGGGCCACCTCTGAGCTGGCAGAGCAAGCTGTCCTGGGCTCACCGTTGTGACCCAGCCTCAAAGGCCGTCTCAGAGGCCTCCCACTCACCCGATAGAGCCTGCTCTTGCAGTCTGCCAGAGGAGATTACACTGCCCACTAGACTCATAACAAGACATGAACACTCAGGAACAATTAATGCTCTTAGGGAGAGGCTGACAAGGACACCGAAAGATCCCGGGAATAGCAGACTCTCAATTTTGCTTTAGCTCAAGGTTTGGGTTTGTGGATGTGGGTTATTTTTTTCACCTTTCCACAGACGGACTTCACTTCCCCCAGAGACACATGTAGCCTTCCCCATGGAAGTGCTTTCTGTTTGCAGCCCACTGGTGACTATCTGGCTCATGTTTTAGGTAGGACAGGGTGACCGGGACCAAGGAACACTCCTTCTGAGAACAAGAAAGTCTGGGTGGGTGGGTGGATGTGTGGGTGGGTAGGGGGGGTTCAGGCTATCTGAAGGGCTTGTGGAGCACTGAGATGGGACTTGAGGGAAGAAATCCAGAGGGGTGACCATGGACCAGAGGAGGGGCTGACGTTCCCTAGCTCCCCGATTCTGCCCTAATTCTAGGTGCTGAGGATCTTGACAGAGGGCCCAGGCAGTGAGCTGCTGCTGAGACGCAGAAAAACCAGCAATGGAGTTAGCGACCTTGAGCACCTGGGACAGAAATTAGAGGCCTTCTGGGCCGGAATCCCGATGAGGAAGAAGGGGCAAAGAAAGGAACCCTGCAGCTTCCGAGCAAAAACAATGACACGACACAGCCCAGTCCTGAGCCCCTCCTGGTGCTGGCCACACAGGACGCAGGTGAGAGCCGCAGTCTCCCAGTGCAGGGACGGCCCGGGCTCTCTGTCGGAAGACGTGGGTCCTGAGCTGACAGGCAACCAAGCTGCAGACCAGCCTTCAGGCAGCGCAGGCTCTTGCTGACTTGAGGTGTTGGCCCCTATTTGCCTCACAAAGGGCAGGATGATGCCTCTCCAGAACAAAATAACATCATCCAGGTCCTCTCCTCATTCTGACAACCTGGCACCTCTCCCGCCCTCCAGCTGAGGCAAGCAGACCCAGGCTGCAGCCCACAAGCTCAGCCCCCCACACCTGCTGCCTTCCTCCAGCCAGGATCCAGACCCAAACCCCACAGAGTGTGGAACGGTAAGGCGGCACTGCTGAGACCGGAGCTGTCAGTGGCCTCGCTTTTGGCAGCCAGAACAGGACCCGGCCAGGAAACAGTGCCGGGAGCTGACCTGCTGGGCGGCGACATCTGGCAGCTCCGGGCCCACGCTGCTCGGCAGGAAGCCCGCTGTGCCACGGACCGGCTTGGTGACCCAAACCAGGGACCGAACCGCTCAGTGACTCAGTTCCCTCATCTGTAAACTCAGGACATCATCACGTGACATGAATTAGACAAGGTATGCAAATCGCTGAGCAAAGCACATGGCATGTAGTGATGGTATTCAGCAAGCGGCAGCTGCAGTTTTTCTTGACCCTACTAGTGTTGTTCTTGACTTCGAGCATTCCCAGGGGGGCACACCGTGGCACTCACAACAGCAGTAGGACAAAGGCAGCCGAATGAAGTGGGCTTTGGCCACATAGGACCTAGGTGGAGATGGACGCCACTCGCCGTGTGTGGCGGTGTGCGTTTTATGTACATTTAAGTCAATTACAATAAAAACAGAAATCCAGCCCCACTGTCGCACCCACCCCACTCCCAGAGCGCCACAGCCATGCACACGTCGTGGGGACCCCCTGCGGTCGGCGCAGGTGACACCGCCCTGGGCAGCGCTGGCAGAGTGAGCTCTCCCTTTGGGGATTCCCCCTTTCACCACGACACCCCCACGCCCCAGGCTGCGCCTCCACTCCTTCCCCTCAGTCTTTGCAGGGGGCCGGGGTGGCCGGAGCCTGCTCAAGCCGGGAGCCGGCACCTCACGCTCCACTGTGCGCACCAGTGGGAGGGGAAGGAGGTTTTTATTTTTCTGACACCGTGACTCACCGCTTTGCCCGGGTGCCCGGCCTGCCTCGGATGAGGGCCAACCCTGTAACCTGCTCGCTCGCCCCAAGGCAGAAACTCTGGGGCAGGCAGCACCCACTTCCCTGACTTTTCGGATGCAACCCAGAACCAAACAGGAGAGGATGCGGTCTGCTGTTCAGAGGGGATGGGATGCGGACCCTGTGGCCAGTCTCGCGTTTGGAAATGCAACACTCGTAGCATCAGCGTCTCCTCAAGGGCCGTGCACACCAACTGTTCTACACGTGCTCTAAGCCGAGGACACCGCCACGGCGACTTGCCGAGGCGGTACAGCCCCACGTGGCCCTGCAGGGTACATCAGCCCGTCACGCCGAATGACGCTGGGCAGGTGTGCGGGCGGTCTGTGTGTCCAGGAGACCGCTGGGTCCCCCGGGCTCCCCGAGCGTGCTCCGGGCCCTCAGCCCTGAGTCTGTGCTTCCAGCGGGAGAGCACGCAGGACGCCGTGGCTCATGGCTCGGGTGGGGAGAGGCCTGAAAGCCGAGATGGAGATGGGCGCGTCCTGTGCTCCGTTTCGGGGCCCTGTCCCCTCACGCTGTCCCCAACCGAACGGTCCCTGGGAGGAGAGGCCGGGCACGGTCTGCCTGGAGCCAGACGCGTCCCGAGAAGGAAACGAGGATGGCAGCCCGCCCGGAGCAGGTTGTCCATAGGAGGGGTTCCAGCCAGAGCGCAGTGCGAGGAAACGCTTGCCTTGTAAAGTGCCCGCCATGGCGCCCGGTGCAGGTGCGGACTGAGGGTGGGTGCTCTCGGGAAGGGGGCTCCCGGGGTACATCCCACACGCTCAGTCCCTTCCTGGGGAGAAGTAACTTTCGTGGGGAGAAAACCATAAAACCGTGTCCACCTGCCACACTCGCTCTCGGCCCCGAGGTGGCCACCCCTGCGATTTCTGCAGGGGTGTGTGTGACGGCCTCTCCTCCCCTCCTGCTGAGAGAAGCAGGGTCTCCTTGGAGCAGAGATGGAGCTGCCCTGGGGGAGGATCTGACTCAGACCTGACCCCCTTCAGGCCAGGCCTCCTGGGTTCCCCACTTCCCACCGGGTCCCCTCCTGCCCCACCCCAGCCTGGTCTCACTCACGCTCATCCGCCTGATCAGCCCGTCCAGCATCCTGTTCCTCAGTGTCTCACGTCCACCTCCTACGAGTCACTCCCCATCTTTCCCACACGGCCTCAGGCTGCTCCACGTGGCCGCCTGGGTGTGGGGCGCATCTCTGACCCACCAACCCCTGACCTCAGCTTCCTCCAGCCGCCAGAGAGTGGCCCTCGGGCCCGACACCTGGGGACCGCCCCGGATCCCTACAAACCCCCTGCTTCTTGCTGTCTCCGAGGACAGTCCCTGTCACCACCACCCCCCGTCCCACCAGCTCCGTGGCCTCCAGTCCGTCCTTGTTCCCCGAATCTCCTTCCCCGTCCAGCAGCCAAAGCAACCTGTCCCAAACGGGCATCTGATCACATTGCACCCCCACGGGGCTGCTTCCGAGGCCCCCAGCCACTCTGCAGACAGGTCCAAACTCCGAGGTGCGACCTCAGGACCCACCTGAGGCAGCTGTGTCACCTCTGGCCTGTGCTCTCTGCCCCTCCCGAACTCTGTTCCCCTGGAGCTCACCTCTGTCTCGCTAATGCCCCTTTCTCGTCAGACCTCTCCTGTAAAGCTCTGCCCTCTTCAACGGCTCCCCAGCACCCCCCCCCCAAGGGGAGCTTTCCTTTGCAGAGGCTTCTGTGTCCAGCTCCCTGGACTGTGCGTGCCACCCCAGTGACCGACCGCTCGCCCACACCTGTCTCCCGCCTGGGTCACACCACACAAAGCACGCCCCACTCCGGCCCACCCCCGGGGCCTGGCCTCTGATGGGGTTGGTTGGTTCCCCGTGTGAAGAATGATCTGGATGCTACTCACTGAGCACAATAACCATCTTGTCACCGCCTGTAAACTCCCATTTGGCCACCTGCAGAACGGTCTAATGAAGCTTAGACCAACCACCCTTAGGGGCTGGCCAGACTCCCCTGCACTGGCTCTCGGCACTCACCACGGGGATGGACACAGAGTAGTTGTTCAAAACACATGCATTTAAAGAAAACACACTGGTCCCAAACTCCCCGAAGTCCCACAGTGATTGGGCGGCAGAGGCGGGTCTGGTCCAGGCTGTCAGGTCGCTGGGCTGGCCCTAGTGGTTGGACTGTCTTCCTCCATGGGCTGGGCTTACGGGAGCCAGAGGCAGTTAATGGGCTAGGTCCGTGCCCTGGGCTGGAGAAAACAAAAACCTCAGGCCCTCACGTGTGAAGGGGCTTCTGCCCCAGATGCAGGGGAGGCAGCCAGCCGAGAGAGGACAGACGAGCAGGCAACAAGCAGGGCTACTGCCCTCACTGGCGCGGGCAGCCCTTCCTCTAGCTCCCAGAGCACGGCGCAGCCATGGGGACGTCCTTAGGGAAAGGTGGGGTCCATGGCACGTGACCCCAGAATGAGCACAAGCAGCTCCCTCCCCAGGACAACAGGGTGCAGGCAGAGGAGGGCCGGGTGCTATGGGGCTCTCCCAGCAGGCACTCGCTGCCCAGGAAACAGGAGCAAGGTGCAGGGAGCAGGTGTAATAAGGCACAGGCAGGCGGTGCTGGGGAAGGCATGTAAATAGCCCTGGGAAGAAAATATGACCGCCTTTTCCACCTGGGACACCCCCCCTCCTGCCTCACTCCCACCAAGGCCTGGAGCTGTGAGGAGCATTAAGCCGGACTGGCCCTGAG